TTTTAGATGTACAAAAACTGAGAAAGTTTAGTAGGTATGAATCCCTTCTAACAAGCAGGTGTATGGCAGGACATATTTAGTGGACAGAGAATGACAACATTTCTCCACCACAGGCAAGTGAAGATGGGGCAGGGACAGGCTCAGCATTCTGTTTGCTCAGGGTGGATGCAGACTCATCTATCATGTGAACTCTGAGTATAATTTTACTTTTTAATAGGGCAAAAAATTATGAAAAAGCCAGGCGTGATGGCACAACCCCGTAATCCCAGCACTCGGGAGGCTGAGGCAGGAGAATCACCATGAGTTCGAGGCCAGCCTGGACGACATAGAGAGTTCAGGGCGAGTCTGAACTGCAAAGCAAGACCTTGTGTCCAAAAGGCAACACACAAAAAGTATGCGCAAAGGCTCATGAAAGCTTAAGAGGCAGAACAATAAACTCCCTAGAGAAATCTGGGAAGACAGTTCAGAGGAGGGGGAATTTGAAGTCAGTCCTAAAGAAGTAGATGTTTGAGGAGTTGCAAAGATGATGTTGGAGGATGTTCCAAGCCAAGGGATCCCACACGCAGAGAGCCTGGGTTATCAGCACAGCGGGCTTAGTGTGGCTGGGGAGAACATGCCTGAGACTTGCCCACAGAGTGCCAGATGATCTAAGTTGATTTCTTTATCACACTTTCTAATTGCCTACCCCTATCATCAGTTTTGCTCCATGACTCATTATTTGTACTGGAAAATGAGGCTCTGCACACTGTTACCTGTTTGAAGTTTCATGTTCTTTCTGAATCGAGAAGGATCGCTCTGCTTCCGAAATCATTATGCATATGTTACACAAGCAGTACCGTGAGTCATACGTCAATGATACTTTTAAAAACGAGGTGGTTAGGAAAATCGTACAAAATTTTATGTAGCATACCAAATTCTTGTGAAACAGAGACCATGAGGTGACACTGGAGACCCTTGCTGTGAAATACCTGGAGTCAATAAGCAACTCTGACCGAGTGGCCGGACCAGAGACACTCCAGGCCAGTATCACCAAGAAACAGGGCAGCCGCCCTTAGACGTTCAATATAGCTTTCATCTTACTGAGACATTTGCTTTTGCTGCAAGTGACTCATCTTAATCAGTAAATTATTCAACTTTTTAATGTTCCATTACTTAAGATCACTTGTGGATATGAATAAGCCTACATTGTGCATAGGAATGCAGGCAAACATTCAAGGATAGCTCTTTTGCAGACTCTGCTCCGTGCCAGAGACTGCTAAATCTCACCACCAGGAAGCTTGCAGTGGCATTCATTTTAAAAACACCTTATCTTTGTTCAAGTGGGAGTTTGAATTGAAAGGATATGAACTGTACAAAGCATTAGCTATAAACTGTTCATGTTGCAGGCAAAACGGTAAGTGAAATAAGCAAGACAGAAGAGTGTTTTAGAATAATAAAAAAGGCAAAATGATGAGTGTTTCTGTTGACTGAAAGGCAATCACTTGTTGAGGAATAAGGTCAGAAGAAAAGGGATTCTTTGGCAAAGCTTTTCTTTCTCTGATAGCTATAATATAAGAGACAATTGGCTGCACTCCACAGGGATGTCCTAATCAAATCTATTTCATAAAAAAGTAAAAAAATACCAGCAGTCATATAATATACTGCCTCACTGACATCTACATTGGGTGAAACTTTCAAATCATAAGCATATTTAATTTAAAATTAATATCTTCTTTTCTTTAAAAAAGAAGTTTGAAAAGTTGTTTAATCAGTTAGTCTTAGCATTGACTTTCTGGGGATTGGTAATTAATTTCTGGCCTAGGAAGACATTTTACCCCTGCTTTTCTTCCTTGTATCCTGCCTTTTAAATTTCCTCTAAGTATTAGCCTGTTATCAAAGGCAAGAAGAGTTAAGGGTAAGATGTGAAACCTATATCAGTCAAATATGGTACCTTGGAAGATTCAATGCAACTCCCATTCAACTACCATCAACATACCTCACAGATCTTGAGAAAATATGCCTTAAATTCATCTGG